GGCTCAGGAAATCCACTCACCTCAGCCTCCCAAAGGTGTGGGATTACAGGCTGAGCCACCGAGCCCGGCTCCAAATTCTTTAAAAGGTACATACAAGGTACATTTGACAAAAGTACAACATGACATACAAATGAAGCGTTAATTCCAGGACTGTTTACAAATTCAAAAACCAAAAACACGAGAAACATCCATCCATAGGCATTATTCAAAAATAGAACAGCAAATGACGTGCTTTAATAAAAAACAAAACCCCAGCAAAGTATAAACCTCTTTGATCATATTTTCTTTTTTTATTCTTTTGATTTGGAATATCACTCTGTCGCCCAGGCTGGAGTACAGTGGCACACTCACAGCCACCATAGCCTCGACCTGCTGGACTCAGGCGATCCCTCTGTCTCAGCCTTCCAAGCAGCTGGAACTACAGGCACAAGCCACCATGCCCGGCTAACTTTATTTATTTATTGTAGAGATGAGGTCTCAAGTTGCCCAAGCTGGTCTCGAATTCATGGGCTCAGGCAATCCTCTCACTTTGGCCTCCCAAGGTTGGGATTATAGGCGTGAGCCACTGCATCTGGCCCATATTTCCTAAAAAAACATGTGTTGCTTTGTACTTACAAAGTGTTCCAGAAGAATATACCAAAAAAAATTTAAGGACTCATCGTCTAGAATAAGAAAAAAAGGAAGATGTTTATTTTTATATATTTCTAGATCATTAATTTTCTAACCATGTGTCTGTAATACTTTCTGTAATTAAAAAATTAGGCCAGGCTCGATGGCTCAGCCTGTAATCCCAGCACTTTGGGAGGCCGAGGTGAGTGGATTGCCTGAGCTTGTGGGTTCAAGACCCACCTGGGCAACTTGGCAAGACCTCGTTTCTACAATAAATCAAAAATTAACCGGGCATAGTAGCGTGTGTCTGTAGTTCCGGCTACTTGGAAGGCTGAGGCAGAAGGATCACTGGAGCCCAGCAGGTTGAGGCTGTGGTGGCGGGGAGTGTGCCACTGTACTCTAATCTGGGCAACAGAGTGAGACTCCAGCTCAAAAAAAAAAATTTAAAGTGGGGGAGCACACACTGAAGAAAATTACGAATTCAAACAATATGCCATCAAAATCCAAAACTTTTATGCATCAAAGGACACCATTAACAGAGTGAAAAGGCAAACTGCACAATGGGAGAAAATATCTATAAGTCATATATCTAATAAGAGGTTAATATTCAGAATATATAAAGAACTCTTACACCTCAACAAAAAAAAAACCAATAACTTGATAAGAAAATGAGCAAAGGACCTGAATAGACATTTCTCCAAAGACAGAAGTGATCAAAAAGCATACAAAAAGATGCTCCGCAGCACTAATCATTGCAGAAATAGAAATCAAAATAACAATGAGATGCCACTACACACGGTCAGGATGGCTGTGATCAAAGACAGAAAACAGCCAAGTGTTGACAAGGATGTGGGGAAGCTTAATCCCCTGGCATTGCTGGTGGGGCTGGAAATGGCGCAGCAGCTGTGGAAAACAGTATGATGGGGCCTGCAACACTTTAACAAAAACGTGGAAGCAATGTGTGTGGATAAATGTAATATGATCTATACTTACAATAGAATATTATTCAACCTTTAAAAGGAAGGACTTTGGGAGACCGAGGCAAGAGGACTGCCTGAGCCCAGGGATTTGGGACCAGCCAGGGCAACTTGGTGAGACCTCGTCTCTACAATAAATCAAAAAATTAGCTGGGCGTGGTAGTGTGCTCCTGTAGTTCTAGCTACATGGAAGGATCACCTGAGCTCAGTAGGTCGACCCTGGTGTGGCTGGGGGGGCTCACTCAGTCACCGCACTCCAGCC